CTGTTACTCTGTGTCAAATAATTCTGAACCATTGTGAACCATGGTGACTCCCTGCAGAGTGTATTTCACACCTGAGCTCTTTTTTAAAAAAAAATATTTATTATTTTTATTTTATGAGTGTTATGCCTGCATGTAGGTAAGTGCACCCGTGTCTTGTAATGTCCCCCTGAGGACAGAAGAGGCTGTTGGATTCCCTGGAACTGGAGTTACGGACATGTGGGTGCTGGGATTCGAACCCTGGTCTACTGCAAGAACCCCCGGTCTACTGCAAGAACAGTCAGTGTTCTTAACTGCTGAGCCATCTCTCCAGCCCCACACCTGAGCTCTTTTGAGTTCATCTACCTCTCTGTCTCCTTTAGTCCTTACCCCTGAAACTTGGGTTTCATGAAGGCTGACTAATGTCCTCTCAGCATGCTATGCACTTGCCCCTACCAGACTGAAAGCTTATATGCATGTACACATGCATGAGTTTGCATATTTACCCATGCATGCTGTATACATGTATGCATATGTGCACACTTGCCTCTGTGTCTCTGTGTGTAGGCCAGAGGTTGATGGCAGTGTCTTCCTCTACCACTCTCCATGTTGTTGTTTTGTTTGCTTGATTGAGACAGGGTCTCCCTGTAGCCCTAGCTGGCCTAGAACTTACTGTGTAGACCAGGCTGGCCTCAATCTCACAAAGATCCTCCTGCCTCTGCCTCCAGAGTGCTGAGATTAAAGGTGTGCACCACCACACCCTGCTTCATATTTTGTTTTGGTGGCCAGTGGGCTCCTGAGATCTGCCTGTCTCTATTCCCAGCACTGGGATTACAGGTGTGTACCACCTTCTATGCTTTTTTATTTCCATATATATTTTAATTGAATTTTTGTGTATTTCATATAATACATCTTAATCATATTTCAGCCCCCTCCCCTATCTACTCTCCTATATTCCCCCCACCCCCCCCACGGATTTCATGCATTCTGTCATATATGTTAAGGCCTATGGAGTCAAATTTGTGTCCCCAGATGTCCCTTGATGCAAGTTCATCCACCGAAGTCTAGTCAGCCTATCTAACATCACTCCCTTAAAGAAGATCAACTCTCCATCACCCAGCAGTGAGCAGCTGCCAATAGTTCCTCAGCTAAGGTTGGGGTTTTTTGCCCATTTCCCCAATTCTATGGTGAGTTTTTGTCTGATTGAGTTTGCATGGGCCTTGTATATGCTGTCACCATTGCTATAAATTCATATAAGCAAGTTCTCAGAAGCCTAGAAAACTCTTTCCTTGTAGTCATCTACTACCCCTGGCTTGTACAATCTTTCTGCCCCCTCTTCCACAACGGTCCCTGAGTCCTGGGTGGGCGAGGTTTAATATAGGAGTCCTATCCAGGAGCTCACACACTGTAGTCTCTTATTCTCTACATTTTGGTCAGTTGTGGCTTTCTGTATTAATCACCCTCTGTTCAGTATAGAAACTTTGATGGTAAGAGTTGAGAGATGTATTAGTATTCTCTCTACCCTATATTCCATGAGCCTTAGGATCGAGGTTCCATTGTAGATGTGTCACAATGGAACACAATGGAGTAAGTGTATCTCACAGACACCTATTCTCTGTGTTTGACCAGTTGTGGAACTCTGTAAATAGCCTCCATCTGTTGCCCTCTTCTGGCCTCCACAGGCTTTGTACACATAGGTATTCTTACATACATTTAAGCAAAACACTCAAACGTGTAAGATAAAATAATTTTAAAACAACAGGTAGAGGGAGGAGCAGGAGTGAGAAAGCATGGTGCATTTGGGGAATGCATGTGGTCTGGACGGACTGAAGCATGAGGGCACATGGAGAAGTAGGGGGAGCTATGTGGTGCTCTGAGGTCTACTCTCATTGCACAGCCAAAGCACTGCTTACGGCAGAGCACAAGGCCTAGCACAGGGCAGACTTAAATGAAAGCTAAGCAAATGGGATTTGTCTTGAGGATAATGAGAGATCAAAGAAGAATTTTAAGCAGGAATGCTTGGAGGTGAATTACAGATGTTGGAAAGATGGCTCAGTTAAGAGTACTGGCTGGTCTTGCAGAGGACCCACATGGTGGCTAACAACCATCCATAACTGTAGTTCCAGGGGATCCGACACCCTCTTCTGACCTCCGCAGGCATTGCATGACATGGGTGTACTTATACACACGCAGGCAATACACTCATGCACATAGAATAAAAATAATAAAATATTTTTTAAAAATTAAAAAAGTGAGTTAAGGATGATATTAGACACAGGGAAGTTGAGCCAGATGTGGTGGCATATGCTTATAATTCCAACACTTAGGGGCAGAGGTTAACGTGGTTTACATAGTAAGCTCCACACCAACCAGGACTACATATTGAGACCTTATCTTAAAAACAAAATAAGTTGGGCATGGTGTTGCATGCCTTTAATCCCAGCACTCAGGAGGCAGAGGCAGGAGGATCTCTGTGAGTTCAAGGCCAGCCTGGTCTACATAGTGAGTTCCAGGCCTTCTGGGGCTACAGGCAGACCCTGTCTCAAAAAGACCAAAATGAACAAACAAACAAAAAACAAACTAAAAGCCAGCCATGGTGGCACATACCTTTAATCCCAGGACTCAGGAGACAGAGGCAGGCAGATCTCTTTGAGAGGCCAGTGTGGTCTACATAGTAAGTTCCAGGCCGGTTGGGGCCAAAGGGAGACCCTGTCTCAAAGATCCAAAATAAGTAAATAAATGAAATTTAACCAACCAATCAAATAAAAAAGATACAGGGAAGTTGGTTAGGAGCTTTGTGTTTTTATTTTATTTATTTTTGTCTTTTTGAGACAGGGTCTCCCTGTAGCCCCAGCTGTCCTGGAACTCACTATGTAGACCAGGCTGGCTTTGAACTTACAAAGATCTGCCTGCCTCTGCCTCCCAGGTGCTGGGATCAAAGGCGTGCGCCACCATGCCCAGCATGTTTTTATTTTAAGACAGGTGCCATATGGTCTCAGACAGGCTATATAACTGAGGATGACCTTGAACCCCTGATCCTCCTGACTCTACCTCCTAAGTGCTAGGATTATAGGCATGTTATCACCATGCCCTAATAGGAGTTTTTACATAAACCAGCTACTCAGATCTCACAGTTTCACAGTTATTCCTTTCTTTTTTTTTCTTTTGAGACAGTGTTTCCCTGTAGCCCCAGCTAGCCTGGAACTCGCTATGTAGACCAGGCTGGCCTCGAACTCACAAAGACCTGCCTGCCTCTGCCTCCCAAGGGCTGGGATTAAAGGTGTGTGCTACCACGCCCGACATCTCACAGTTATTCTTAATGCCTTTTCTGTTCTTAACTCATTTCTTTAGACTAGAGTGTTCCCTCCAGAGGTGCTCTTTGCCCAGCTGCTCTAGGCAGTACTTTGTGCAATAAAAGCAGACCTTGGGGCATTATATAGCTCAGCTGGTCTCTGAGGATAGGTGTCTGGTCCATATTAGGCAAAAGGTACAGCTGTCTCTATTCTGCAATGAGTTGGATAGCAAGAGGCCTTTATAATAGCATGGACAACATTTTTAAAATGGAGGTAATACTGGCTTTTGTGGTGCCTTTTTGAGAATCCAATTAAAGGATGATGGTGATGACAGTAATACGTACCATTTGATAAGCATCAGTTTCATGTTAGGCCCTGAGCCAGTACAGTCACTGACAGTTAAACAGAGATACAGCTTAGGGGTAGACCTAGCAGGTACCAGGCTCAATCCCTAGTACCACAAATACAAAACAAAACACCAGAAATAGTGTTTAGCTCATAACAAGTACTCAGTAAATGTTAGATTCCTCCTCACACTTCCTCCTGATCATTGCAGTCCCTGCAGTTTGTCAGTAGCTGATAAATCACCACCCTAGCTCTGTTTCTCAGTGACTATTTCCAAAAATCAACAGAGAAACTAATGAAGATTTAATTTGCGCTCAGAAAAGCAGCCAGTAATTTCCAGCATCCTTTCAATTAAGGAAGTACTTGAGACTTAGAAACAAACCGTACTTTAGCCAAATTATAATTTAATATAATTAGCCCTTGAACTTAATTTTTAGGTTCATGGTCTTAGGCTGTTACAGAAACCAGATGGAGCCATTGCCTGGACTGTGTGGCATTGTTCAAGTGTTATTTAGATATGAATACCCATCTTCTGACTAAATAATCAGAATAAACATCTTAATACAAAATCTTTTTAATGGACAAAATAGAATAATTGTGTGAGGTTCAGAATGAGTTAGTTAGTTGTCCCAGCCAAGAAGCCTGAAAGGTTTCTGGTTGCACAAGAGCCCTAACTTTGTATGAAGTAAACCTTCTTGGTTTTCAAGACCACTGTTTACCATATTCTTTCCTCTTCCTTCTCTGTGTCAGTCGTATGTCATCAGATCCTCTTTGACAATATAAAACACAGATGCAAACTAACTCTGTAGCCATCCTGGGATTATGGGCTCAGGATAGTAAATCTTGCCTTCATTGTGAGATGAGTTCACGTGTCTCTTTTTGAAGAAAGGAGCTATGGGAGAGGCAGCCCTGAGCTTGGCTCGTTGCTCATTTCTGGTTCTACAATATTAATTTGTAGGAGTGTCCTGGACCATTGGGCATAAAGTACATGAGGGGTTGTGATTGCAAAACATGGTGGCTTGCTGGCAGCAGTGTCTGAACCCAAAATCTGACTGGGGTCCTAGGCCCTGCCTTTATCCCTGGAAACAGCAAAACTCAAGAAAAAGTGAGAGCCACAGCTCCAGAAACATTTATCCCCTGTCTATGTCTACAGTGTGGAACAAGTCAGAGGTTAGCTTATCCCCAGAGATTAACATAAAACTATAGAGATTTTGGAGCATGCTCTGGATCCGATCATGAGATCTCTTCTTTCTTGTCTTAAAACCTCTTTCTCCTCCTCCTGGGTATAGATTGCCCACTTATACCTCACCGTCTCATGCTGCCTTAAAGGGTACAGGATGGGGATAAGGTAGATTCGTCATTGTCTTTCCACCTTTTATTTTCCAGCAACAGCTTCAGGCCTATGTGGCCTGGGTGAACGCCCAGCTGAAGAAGAGGCCGTCGGTGAAGCCTGTGCAGGACCTACGACAGGATCTCCGAGATGGGGTGATCCTGGCCTATCTCATCGAGATTGTTGGTCAGTTGGCCTGGGACTCTGACACTAGTGTAAACCAGAACATGGCCATCTTTTCTCTCTATAGGCCTTTCAAAGCAGGTTTTTCTTCCTTTAAAATACATGGCAATAGAAGTAGAGAAGACCTAAAATACTTGCCCGAGGTTACGTCATTTACTTATTCATTGATCAACACTGTGTGCCAGGCACTGTATTATATTTGGAAGATGTTAACCCCATCAGTGCTCTCAGGGTTCCCAATCTAAATTGGAAAGACTGGAAAGTGAAGTCAATTTTATTTATGTGTTTGGTATTCTGATGGAGAAAGCACAGAGGGGAATATGGTAGAAAAGACATCCTGCCTAGTTTTAGGGGTTCAGGAACAGCTGACCAGAAGAACTGATGTCTCAACTGAAACCTGCCAGAAGAATTAATGTCTAAGTGGGGAACCTACCAAAAGAACTGATACCTAAGCTAAAAACAGGAAAGGAAGTAGTATCCAGGCAAAAAGAGGAAATGTTACCAGCCAAAGAACTTGTGATACCAGGAACCATGTGCTTCATGAAAAGGTTTTTCATCTTCAATTTGAGGTATTATTCTTATTAGATGGTCCTCCAGCTTTATAGCCTTGGTGTTTGTCCATAGCTCTGTCATCATTTTTCGCATTGACTGGTAATTTGTTGTGTTAAAGACTGAGCTCTTGAAGAATATTATATACGATAATTTGTTTTTCTGTTTCCACACAATTCCAAACCAAATATTCAAATTAGGCTCTCCAACATTTATTATTATGTAAGTCAGCCAGCCTTGCTTGGAGTCCTTGAGGGATGTGGGCTCGCAGGTGTATGGAAAAAGCAGGTTTGCAGCAGGCAGTGTATTCATGAATACCTTTTTGAGATAGCTCATGGTATCAGAGTACTCATTCATAATGATATAACAATAGCAGTGGTACTTGTAGCTAAGACTGAACATTTTTCTATTTTGTTAAACTTTATTAAACCATCGTACCCTTAGGAAACAGATGCTTTATCCTCATTTTCAGGAAACAAAAGGGAGGATTTATAAAAAAGTAACGGGTACTTGTATGTTCCGAACAAAATAGCCAAGCCCACTACTTTGATTTATTTGTGATGTGGGTTTGAATACAGGTAAGTGTCTCTTATCCAAAATGCTTGGGACCAAAAATGTTTCAGATGTTGGATTTAAAAACAATTTTGGAATATTTGAATAGAGATGGCCACTTAAAATTAAGCATTACTAATCTGAAAATCCAGAGTGAAATGACTTCAAATCAAAAAATTTTAAGCACTAGTATGATGCTTTAAAAGTTTCAGATTTTGAGCGCGTGTGGTGGTACACGCCTTTAATCCCAGCACTCGGGAGGCAGAGGCAGGTGGATCTCTGTGAGTTCAAGATCACTCTGGTCTACATAGCAAGTTCCAGGACAGCTGGGGCTGCAGGGAGACCCTGTCTCAAAAAGACAATAAATAAATAAATAAATAAATAAATAAATAAATAAATAAATAAATAAAAAAAAATAAAACTTTTCAGATTTTGTCATATTTGTGATTTCAGAGTTTTGAATTAGGGATGCTTAACCTTCACTATTTTACTGATGAGGCTTACAAGATTAAACAATTTCACAAGGTCACATTATTTTAAGTATCAGAGTAAGAGGTACAAACCTAGATCTCCTTTAATTCAAAGGCCATTTTAAACACTTAATTTTTTTTTGCCTATTTAAATAGGTTATATGTGGACTGGTAGGAAATCTAGGTGGTACAAAAGGATTAAAAGCCTTTTCTCTATGTCTGGCTCTTCATCGCCTAATGTGTTAGTTACTTGTGTTTGTGACAAAATACCCTGACAAAAGCAACTTGAGGAAGGAAGGGTTTCTTTTGGCTCACAGTCCAAGGGGAAGTGCACTGAGGTAGGAGGGAAGCTTGAGGTAGCTGGTCAAGATGCATCTGGAGTCAGGAAATAATGATGTTGGGTACTCGACTCACTCTCTGCTTTTCATGCAGCCCAGGAGCCAAGTCTAGGGATTGGTGCTGCCCACTTGTAATGTGTTTCTTCCCACCTCAATTAACCTAATTAAGATAGCTCCTCATAGGCATAGACAGAGGATAAACTAATTTAGATAACCCCTCATAGGTGGGCCCAGTGACTTGTCCCCTAGGTGATTCTAGGTCCTGTTGATAATCAATATTAGCCTTCACAGCTGCCCATTCTTCATTCCGGAGACAGCCAAGGTTAATAGTGTCTTGCAGTTCCAGAGGTGTTCTCTGCATCTGGAAACAGTATTAACACGTAGTTTTATTTTCCTAAGACACAGGGTTTTTTTGCGGGGGGGCTCTTTTTTTGAGACAGGGTCTTCCTGTAGCCCCAACTGGCCTGGAACTCACCGTGTAGACCAGGCTGGCCTTGAACTCACAGAGATCTGCCTGCCTCTGACTAAAGGCATGTGCCACCACACCCAAGACACAGGTTTTAAACTCTGAGTATATTTGTGTGTGTGTGTGTGTGTGTGTGTGTGTGTGTGTGTGTGTGTTTGCCTGTGGTTCTGGAAATTGAACTTGGCCTTGAATGTGCTAGGCAAGCACTCTACAGGGTATATCCCCAGCCTGAAACACTGCTTTCTATTGTAACTTTGCTATATAAAATAACATCATAGGGGCTTTGGAGTTGACTCAGTAGTTAGAGCACTTGCTGTGTAAGCATGAGAACTGTAGTTTGAATCCCCAGCATGCCTGTAGTCCCAGCACTCAGGAGGCAGAGGCAGGCAGATCTCAGTGAGTTCAAGGCCAGTCTGGTCTATAAAGTGAGTTCCATGACAGCTGGGGCTTCAGGGAGACCCTGTTTCAAAAAGACAAAACAAACAAACAAACAAGCAAGCAAACAAACAAAACCTTTTACCCCCAAGCTGCAGGGGATGGAGACAGGAGGATCACCACGGCTTGCTGACTGTCAGCTTAGCTCCAGGTTCAAAAGGAGACCCCCATCTCAACAGAATAAGACATAGAGTAACACGGCAGGATACCCAATTTCCTCCACATACACACCCATGCACACTCATGTGTGCATATATCACATACATCACATATACCCACACACATAACAGCAAAAAAGAAAGACCCTCAAGGTCTCTTCCCAAATTTGTATGTTTAGCCTTCAGCTTTTCCTTGTGTTCCAGCCATGAGTATACAACTTGCTACTTGAATGTCTCACATGCAGTGAATCAGAGCTTTTCCCCCATCAATGTATATTTTTTTGAATTTTTGTGCATTTCAATACATCTTAATCATATTATTTCCTTTCCCACAAGGAGCACAAAGTGCTATCATTCACCCACTTGTTTTCTGTTTTGTTTTATTTTGTTAGTTTTTTTTTTTTCTTTTTTGAGACAGGTCTCACAATGTAGCCCTTACTTGGAACTTAGTGTGTGCTATGTAGACCAGGCAGGCCTCAAATTCATAGAAATCCATGCGCCTCTGCCTCTTGGTGCTAGGATTAAAACCATGTTATTTGGGGTTGGAGAGATGGCTCAGTGGTTAAGACTCCTGGCTGCTCTTGCAGAGGATCAGGGTTTGATTCCCAGCACCCACATGGTGGCTAGCAACCTCCTGTAACTCCAGTTCTAGGGGATCTGATGCCCTCTCCTGGGCTCTTCAGCCATTGTACGACGTGGGTGCACTTACATACACGCAGAACAGAACACTCACAGATAAAATCAAAATCAGTAAGTCAAAATTAAAACTGTGCCACCACACATGGCCTTTTCACCCACTTGGTAAAGCAGAACACTTAAAAGTTATTCTTTCTTTAAAAAAATATTTTATTATTTCTATTTTATGTGTATGAGTGTTATGCATGTAGACAAGTGCACCTGTGTTGTGCAATGCCCACGGAGGACAGAAGAGGCTGTCAGATCCCCTGGAACTGGAGTTATGGACAGTTGTTAGCTGCCCTGTGGGTGCTGGGATTTGAACCCCAGTCTTCTGCAAGAACAACCAGTGTTCTTAACCACTGAGCCATCTCTCTAGCCCCAAAAGTTATTCTTGATTATTTTCCTCCCTCCGTGTGTCATACCCAATCCTTAACATGTACCATCTGCTTTGTATTCAAAATACGCTCAATATCTGGCTTTTTGTAAGCCATTCTCTTCCACTTTAAGCCAAAGCATCCTTATCTCTTACCTTGAGAACTTTCATTATCTTTCTGACTAATCTGTTTCTTCCCTCAGGTAATCTATATCCACACACTGTCAGCTTTGGAAAACACAAACTAGATAATATTTATTGCCTTGTCTGAAAGTCCTCACTGGCTTTTCTTTACCTTTAGAATGAAATTCGGATGCTTTCCTGGGACTGACTCCTTGCTACCTCTTCTTTAGCCACACTGGTATTTTTTCCTTTGAGACAGGGCCATGTAGTCCAGGCTAACCTAGAACTTGCTGTGTAGCTGAGGGTAATTTTGAACTCCTGATCCTCCTGTCCTAGCCTCCCAAGTGCTAGAATGACAGGAATATGTCACATGACCAAATAAGCACATTGGCCTTGTTGACCTTCAGATGGGTTGAGCTAGTCCTACCGCGGAGTTTGTCTCTATGGCTCCGTAGCCTGGTATGTGTCTCCCTTACATCTAAATAGCTCTTATTCAGACTTTACAAATATATTACCAGAGAAGACCTTTAGTTTTTTTCTTCAGTATTTATCTTTACCCAGAATTATATTGAACATTGACTTCTTGCTACTTTGTTATCTTCCATCACTATAGATGTAGACTGTGACGGAAGGGACTTTGTTTACCTTGTTCACTACGCTGTACTTCCTAGAACAGTATCTGGCACACAGTGGGTACTCAATGAATATTTGTTAAATGAATAAATATGCACACAGTATCTTCACAGAACTGTGGGTTTAGGTTAAAGAACAGAGGCCCACCAAAAGGCTTTCATTTTCCTCTTCCTCAGCCACTTCCTCTGATACACATACTAGGGCTTAACTCACTTATGTGTTTATGGATAAGTTTAGTGTTCTCATCCACTATTCCCTTCCCTTGTGCCTGACTGCCATAAAACCTTGATAATATTCTTCCTATGACATTATGTGTTGTTTTCCTTCCCCAACAGCAGGAGAAAAGTTGAGTGGGGTGCAGCTGAGTCCCAGTAACCAGCAAGAGATGAAGAGTAATGTGGAGAAAGTGCTGCAGTTTGTGACTTCCAAAAAGATTCGTATGCACCAGACTTCAGCTAAAGGTTAGGACCTCATCCCATCCTTGGGGGGAAGAATCCCCTTAGCTGTACGGGCACTGAGCAGTCTTAGAAGCCCCTTTGGCACATAGCCAGGGGTCTGACTGAAGTAGGGTTAGGCTCACGGGCTTGGATCGTTTTTCCATAAAGGTAAGTATCCTCTTGGAACAGAGTGATTATCAAAATCCCAGTGCTTCAGAAGCCTTGCAGGAGGTAGACGTTCTCCATTCATGCTAATTAAATACAGGTTTGCTTGAGTGTGTGTGTGTGTGTGTGTTTGTGTGTGTGTGTGTGTGTGTGTATAAAATTGATGATACAAGAAGAAATGACAAAATTGAGATATTAATTTTAGAATGTCTCATTTAAGTTATCAAGGACGAAGACAGATTACTTTCTCAAATTCCTTGGGCTTTATGATCAAGTACTGTTTCAAACCATCTTAATTTAATGCTTTTTCCCTTCAATTTTCTAGAAGAAACTATTTTTATTTCATACTTTCCCTTCTCCCTCTCCCTTTCCTTCTCCATCTTCCCCTCTCCTCTTTTCTTCCCTTTTCTTAGAGTCTCGTGTAGCCCAGCTGGCTCTGAAACTGTTTTGTAGCCAAGGATGACCTTGAACTTGTGATCCTCCCACACCTACCTCCTGAGTGCTGAGATTATAGGATTGCATCACCACACTGGCGCTGGAGGAGGAACCCAGAACTTTGTGAATGTTAGACAAGCACTCTACCAGCTGAGACACAGCCCACGACACATCCCCATCCCTGGTCTTGTTTTGTTTTTGAGACAGGAACTCACTGTCCTTCCTGGTTAGTCTATAACTTGCTATGTTCTAGACTAGCCTTGAACTAATAGTGATCCTCCTGCCTCTGCCTCCTGACAATTGGGATTACAGATGTACACTACACCCAGCTTAAATGGAAAATATTTTATAGCTTTTCACTTTTTGGCAGTGAGACTACTTCAGGCAGGACAAAAGGACCTCCACATGGAGTCTTCTGCAGTGGCACAACCCAGTATGTTGGCCTAGCTGTGAGGAAGGAGCCATGTAGAGGTCCTTAGAAAATGTAGGCTCCTGCAGGGTGTGGTGGTACACGCCTTTAATCCCAGCACTTTAATCCCAGGCAGAGGCAGGTGGACCTCTGTGAGTCTGAGGCTGGCCTGGTCTCCATGGCGATTCCAGGCCAGCTGGGGCTACAGCAGGGAGACCCTGTCTCAAAAAGACATATATATATATATATATATATTCCCTCTTCCTCTTGGTGCTTTTCTGGAACTGACTAGATCAGGTTCTGTTTCAGCACCAGCTTCCAGGTCTGTTCCCTGTGGGTCCAACAAGAATGAGGGTGGGAGGGAGCCCTTTCATGTTGGATTATTGGTGTTCTGTGTGTTTGAAATTATTCAGGTGAGAAAATACTGACCATTGAGAGCATCAGGTAGAAGCGATCAAATAATCCTTTTCATGCTTTGTTCATTTGAAAGGCTATGAAGTCAAACAAATGGAATTTTACCCATATCCTGTGTTAACTTTCAACAGTCCTTTCACTCTGTGTGTATGTGCGTGTGTGTGTGTGTGTGTGCACATGTTTCTTTTTTTCTAGGACAGAATTTAGAGTGCCATGATAAATCTTTGATCTGGTCCCCATGTGGAGTGGGCTTGGGGATCTGGCCCAGTAAAGTGGGCTATTTTGAGGGAACACTGCCATTCAGGGCATCATTGTCTTTACCTGGAGAAGCTCAACAGTTTCCTAATTAGTCCTGCTGCATTGACTTTGTTCTCCTTCTCCCTTCTGTTTTCCCCACTGCAGCCAGCATGAACTAAAAGCACATGTTACTGTGCTGTTGCATATCTGAAAGCCCTTTGGACAGAATCCTGCATCTTTCCTATTGCTTAGCCTGTCCCATATGACCCAAACTCTGATGCCTCTGCTGCCTCACCCTTCCCTTCTTCCCTTGAGCCCTAGGGCTCTGGCTATGATGAATTTCTTTTATTTTCTTTACCACAGTATTGGATCATAGACATATAATGCAAGTCAAATAGGAACTTAAAAGCTTCCAGAAACCACATTATAAACAGGAAGATCTGAAATTAATTTTAATAATATATTTTATTATAGCCATTTTAAGGATATATTTTAATATAGCCAGAATATGATAACTTTACTATGAAATCAATATAAAAATTTATTGAGGCTGGGCATGGTGGCACACACCTTTAATGCCTGTACTTAGGAAGCAGAGACAGGCAGATCTCTGTTAAGTTTGAGGTCAACCTGATCTACATAGTTTAGTTCCAGGCCAGCCAGGGCTACATAATGAGATCCTGTCTCAAAAAAAATAAATTTATTGAGATATTTTGCATTCTATTTTTATACTGCCTGTTTTGCATTCTTGTGTGTATATTAAGTATTTACTTAACACTTACACTACTATACCTACAGCATATGTCTATTGAGAGTAGTGACATCTGAAGTGTTCCATAGCTCTGTGTGGCTTGTAGCTCTCATTACAGACAGCACAGCCCTGTTATGCCGACCTCTCACCTCCAGACCTTCACACCTACTGTTCCTTCTTCCTAGGTTTTCCCTTCCCTCTTCTTAGCTAATAAAACACCATTCTCTACCCAACTCAACTGAGGATTCACTTCCACTAGGAATACATCCTTGAACCCTCTAAGATATCTCCAACATGAGCTCCTAAAGATCCCTGTACCTCTCTTATCCAAGTACTTTATTATCATATTTTGGTTTAACTGCTTTTAACCCTTCTGAGCCCCATGTTGAACTTGGTTTTATGAGAACAGAGCCTTTGCCTGCCTTGTCTCTATTAGCAGTAATACATATTAAATGCATCATTCCACTGCTGCTACCTCTCAGCACCTTTTGGTCTGTCTTCTCCTTTAGATATTGTGGAAGGAAACCTGAAGTCCATCATGAGGCTGGTCCTTGCCTTGGCAGCTCATTTTAAACCTGGTTCTAGCAGGACAGTGAGCCAGGGAAGGGACTCCAGAGCCACTGTGCAGAGTCACCAACCGCACTGTGCCACTGCTATGGCCCAAGGAGCAGCTGCTGCTCTGGCTGACGTGTGCCATGACATGTCACGGTCAGGACGGGATGTCTTCCGATACAGACAGAGGTAAGGGTAAAAGTCCAGAGAGGGGACCTGATACTTGTCTCTGGATTTCTTCACTTAGATAATATAGTGCTGTAGATGGAAATACCAACTGATCAGTCCCACACTGCAGAAAAGATCACAGACTAGTAGTAGAGGTTTGGAAAAGTATGCCTAATCAGAGAAGCTCGGTTGGTTTTGGCCTCATGCATGCTAGGCAAGAGCTCTACCAGTAAGCTACAGCCCCAACTTTCTTTTTATTTCCTTTTTGAGACAAAGTCTTATGAAATAGCCCAGGCTGGCCTTGAACTCACTCTGTACCCCAGGCAGGCCTTGAATTTAGGATTCTCCTGTCTTAACTTCCTGAATAGCTGAGATTACAGGCCCATACCAGCAAGCCAGGCTCAACTCTTTCTTTTGAGATGTTTACTCTGCAGCTAGCAGAATGTAAGGAGCCATGTGTGTAAGTTTGCTCTGGTGCCCAAATTTAAATATATGCGGCTGGCATGGCATGTTTTCTTCACTGGGATATATGTAGTCCATCTGGGGGAGTCTATACCCTGGAAAGTATCCAGAAGGCCAAGCTGCCCTGTAAATTCATGGCAGAAAGTGCTTTGGGATTGTGTAGTCGCTGAGAGAGGGCATGACCTCAAGATGTTGGAGAGATTGGTGACCCTGAGGTGTTGCAGAGATTGGTGAAATCACTTTTTTTTTTTTTTGCATCTGCCTCGCCTACTAAGTTATATGCCTTTGGAGAGAAGGTTTTGCCTTATTCACTTCTAAATTGTGTGTGTGTGTGTGTGTGTGTGTGTGTGTGTATGTGTGTGTTGTAACAAGATCTTGCTATGTAGCCCACCAGACTCATGATCCTTCTGCCTCTTCTGAATGCTGGAATTACAAGTATGTGCCACACTGCCTGCCTGTCTTTTTCATCTTACCTGTAGTGCACAGTGAACTGCAAGGAATCAACTTACAGAGCTGGCCTGAACTGTAGGACTAACATCGTCTCCTTTGCTGGTGCCCCCTGGCTTTAGGAACAGCAGCATGGATGAGGAAATCGAGAACCCATACTGGAGTGTGCGGGCGCTGGTGCAGCAATATGAAGGGCAGCAAAGGTCCCCATCTGAGTCAAGCTGCTCCAGGTAAATGTGACTTTACAGCTTTACTCCTACAGTACTAGCAGAAAGCGGCATTCTTGGGGATTCTAAGCTTCAAGTAGCAAGATCACAAACAATAGGGTACCTGTGGGGTTGGGCCTGTGCAGCTCAGTGGTAGAGTGCTTGCCTTGCCAGAAGCCCTGTGTTCAGCCCTCCAGTACTGAAAAACAAAAGGCATCTAGCCCGTTTTGGGTTCCTTAGTTTATATTTGGCATTAAAGGCCAGTCCTCAGCACTGCCTGTGGGTTTGTGTTAACAAGAGGGTGGAGTAGGGTGCTGATGAATTTCCCATACTGAAACTGCAGAGGCCCAATGACAATGCTTAGCTATGACCACATGGGGGCATGACTGGGACCTCGGAGAGCCCAGTCCAGTAATTCTGACATTTCTCTATTAGCTATCAGGATTTGTGGTAGCCAATTCTATGACACTGTCCTGAAGCCTGAGTGTAACTCTTTAGTTACAGCCCCAGAAGGCTGGAAAAGGCTCCCGGCAAGAGCGGAAATGGTTCAGAACTGTCTGACGCAATAGTGTTTCTACATTCATTTATAGAGCTGGGAATTGGGGCACATTAGCATGCATTTGAGTGGGCTGTGGGTGTTTGTGACTCTAGTTGAGCAGTCTACTTCTCTTACAGCCAAAGGCAGAGACCAGAACAGGACACTTTGCTCTAATAAAAGCCTGACCAATGCCAAGTATAGTGACAGAAAAAGATGACTTTCCTGGCTCATGAAAATTATGCTCCTATAAACACAACTCAGATCACATTAGCTTACTTACTAACATTCTGATGTTCTTTTCTCTTCTACTAAACCCAGAATAGTCTGCTCTATTTAAGTCTAAACATGCTTTTTGTCCCTAATTTTGCATATCTTTGTTTTCTTCCTCCTGTTTTTTTCCTTACACACTTCCATTACATTTTGACAGACCATTCCCTAATTTATTGGGGTCCTATGGAACTTTTCCCAGCATCTTAATATAGTTCAATCTTAGCAAAAGTTTTACGTTTAGTAGGTGTGCTTTCTATTTCTAAAATGCATATATAATATAAAAACCATTAAACATTTCAAAGTGTTCATTTCTGTATCCTTTATTACCTTTATAGTGTTGTGTAAACATTTCTATCTGGTTAGAAGACCTCTTGACTAGCCTCAAAAGAAAATTGCACTCATGGAGCCATAGGTGTGCTTTTAATGAGACTCTAAAATTGCTTCTTTGCCTGCTGTTTGGACTAGCTACCACTTGGTACAGCATCAAAAGCTGTTCTGATATATAATGAGGTCTTTTACATCCTGCATATCTGCTGGCCTTTGGCTATCCTGAGCCTGATAGTGTCCGTAAGTTAG